TATAACTTTAATGAATTTGTAAAATAATTTCAATAAGTCCGTAAAATAACTCTAATGAATCTGTAAAATAACTTTAATGAATTTGTAAAATAATTTTAATGAGATTCCAAGATAATTTCAATGAAATTCTAAAATCATTTTCACGAATTTGTAAAACAATTTTAATGAATTCCTGAAATCATTTTCATGAATTTGTAAAATGATTTTAATGAGATTCTAAAATCATTTTAATGAACGGGTAGTGTTGCGTATTTATTTTACCTCGTTTCAATGAAGAGAAACTAACACTCAATTGTTAATAAAGGAATGAAGGAGGAGCTTTTAAGTGACAAGTCGGGATCGAATCGACTAGATCAAAGAGTTAATTTAACCTAAAAGATGCGAATTGATCAAAGAACGCTGCCGATGGTTATGGGACTTCAGCGTTCAATTTCCACTTCATCTTTTATATGTGCGACACAAATTTTTCAAGTAAAAGCGAGAAGTATCCAAATTACAATTTTCTCGCAATCCATACTATTCGCCTCGAAACGAACGTAATACTTTACAACGCACATTTTCAGTTTCATGGTCTCCCATACGCTCTGAATATATTCGGTCCACCGGAAATCGTGATTAGATATTTATCAGATATTTATCTTGAATCAGAAAAATTGCACGGTTATTTTCCCTCGGATATCGTCGATACTTTTGTGACAACGTTCACAATTCCGATCGAATATATTCCGCCAAGAGAGAGTAGTATCCGATACACCACCAAAATGGGTCATTTCAGTCACTTCAAGTTTCAATCCATATGCACATGTTGATTTGAGACATATACGACTATCTCTCTTTATCATTGCATTTACACACATGTACTCTCCTAAATAAACCGAAACAAAGATGTCTCGTGTCATTATTAAGCGAGACGCGATCGTGAAAACATGGCTACCGATGATAATGCCGGACCACATGCTGCTTTGGCGACTCGTCGGAAAATCGCAGAGCTGGGCTGGGAAATTCTGTCGCATCCACCATACTCCCCAGACCTAGCACCCTCCGATTATCACTTGTTTCTCTCTTTGCAAAACTTTTTAC